AATATATTTTCCAGAAAATCATTAAAAATACTTCCCACTGTCTAGATATCAGTATTGGCTATTGAAAACTTAACAGGCAATAGCACCTACTATCACCTAAGCTACTGATAACACCTAAAAACAGTATCTTATGGCACAGAATCTCACCTGAGGAACTTCTCCAGGTCGTCATGACTGCAGCTGGACCAGGGGAGGTCACTGGGGTTACGACCTTTGACCCATTCCCCGGACATGATGTGAGAGTGGCCCGCGCAGCTGGCGTGATCGTCATCATGGCTCATGCCAATGCTAGAGAGACAAGACCATCAGAAACAACAAACACTAATAACAGCAGCGATCTGACAAAATATGTGTCTCACCCAGGCAAACTTATTGCACAATAAATTGTTATTGTGCTTGTTAAACATAATCATTAACACACCGTTTATGAAGCTTTCCTTGAATGCATAACAATACAATATTACTCTGAAACAGAGCATGTGTTCTCATGAAAACCAAAGCAACCTGAGTCAGAGCGAGCCGTAACAGTGCTTTCTCCTAAGCCCTGACCTACATTTCTCAAATTAAAAACAACAACCAAAAACTGAAGTGGCGGCAGCAAGTGCAGGAACTAATAAAGAGAGCAGTGTGGATTTCTAGGCTGTGTCTTGGCTCCCGCTAAACACCAAAGCAATAAAAGTCGAAAGACACACAACGAACACAATAGAAATCAAGGAGTCGCTGCGGAGAACCAAAGGAACAAGGAGAAGAATGTGAATGCTACAGCAGCTTCATCGTCGCTTTCTTTTCAACTCTTACACAGATGAGTGGCTTTTAATGTCAATGGGGTGATTTGGTTAATAAGTGGATTGAGATGAGAATCTCTCTCACACTCAAACAATCGTGGGAGGTTTATAAGGGTGCCAAATGTCTGTTGTGTTAAATTTGTTTAAGGGAGAAAAAAAAAACACGATTGGCCTTATTAAAACAGGATGTTTTGCTGCCAAGCTAATAATGGTCAAGTGCTTTCACAAGCCAAATACCCTATCAAGCGTGCACTGGACTTAAAAGACTTGGAAGGGAAGGCATCATGCATGACCAATAGAGACTTACAGATATGGGCTGGTAATCTAAAGGTCCAACAAGGTGTTGTTAGCATATTGCTACGAACTTCAAGGTAGTTTATTACTGACAAAAAGTAGTCAAAATTTGCAGTATTGCTTAGAAAATGTAATTGCATATTGCATTAGCTACAATTAAGGAATCACTGATGTCTATAAACTGTAAAAGCTACTCACCAAATGATAATATCCTTAGTTTTAGTGGTTTGTTTAATGCCTCTAACTCTACATATGAGCAAAAGTAACAGCAAAAACCACCAAAAAGCCACAAACCTGTTTCAAATTGCTCACGTTAACAACTGTACTATCCTTTTGCCACTGTGTCAACAATAGCTGGATTTGCATCCACGTATTAATGTGCAAATTTTGCGAAATTGCATAAAAACGCTGCATGGAAACTCTAAGATTCCTAAATTGTGCATAAAAAATTTATATACATACTTACATTAAGGGCCATATTTACTAACAGCTTGCGCCAGCGCAAACCATTTATGGTGTTAAAAAAATAGTACTGTCAGGATTTAATAAAGATGCGCAGTGACGAATTTGCGATGAAAAGGCGTGGACACATTTGTAGAAGTTTCCCTTTCAGATGCAAAATTTATGGGAGGAGAGTATTCAAATTAATCACGCAATGCGATTTAACGTTTGCGCTCGTCAAATTACAGGTATTTGCACCATTATTTAACACTCAAAAACAGCATGTCTTATAGCAGGTGGTAATTTGCGCTGCTCTTGGTAGATTGCGATGGTCATTATGGAAATGATCTGGCTGCATCTGCGTTCTTTAATGTGCGCATTGTCAGTAAATCACCCGCAGAATTTTCCCCTCCCATCGGCGCATTTATGGAATTGCGCATTAACGCAAATTTTCCCTGTTTAGTAAGTCTGGCCCTAAGTGGCTAATTAAACTATGATGGAAACAAATACTGAACAATCGCTCACTGGTTGCAAGTAAAGAGTTCAAAGAAGTGATTTATCTGCAGCTCTAAAGGACAATTTTGTTTTACAAAGAATATAATATAAAAAAAATAAAAGCTCTGCTTTTGAACTTCTATTCTATTCATAATAAACAGCACAACAGTTTTTAACTTCAATAGGGATAAAAAATGTTTCTTGAGCAGCAAATCAGCATATTAGAATGATTTCTGAATGATCATGTGACACTGAAGACTGATGAGTAATGATGCTAAAAAATCAGCTTTGATCACAGGAATAAATCACATTTTAAAATATATATTCACATAGAAAGCAGTTATTTTAGATTGCAATATTTTTTTCACAAAATTACTGCATTTTTGATCAAATAAATGCAGCCTTTGTGAGCACAAGAGACTTCATTTAAAATCTTACCAGCTCCAAACTTTTGAACAGTGTCATTCACATTGTCTAATTTTCCAAACTCACCTGCAAGCACCAATTACTCCATCCATTCATTAAACATTCACTCATCTTTATTCTGAAAGGCGCTTTGACTAATGATCGAATAAGCAATGATGACACTAATGAGGTATTGTGGGTGGACTGAAATATGACGTGACACGCTGCTCCCATACGGAGGATGTTTTCATTTCGAATGAGTCGATGCATGAGGCAAACCCCACATTAGTGTTACGCCAATGTTCCTCAAGCGCCGTGATTGTGCTCCTTCAGCTGTTATTATTGGAAAACGATCAGCGTCTACACTTGATAAAGCGAGACGAATGGAGCGGCGCTAAAACAAGACTCCCAGACAGTCATTAAGCTTCGTTACGCCCGCGCGCCAAATCAAAAGGTCGTGAGCAGATGAAAGATGAGAAACTCTGCTCGCTACTCAGAGAAATCTCAATCCATCAGAAAGCACGATGCTGTTGCATGTGTTTATTAGAGCCTGTAAATGCCATGCTGACAGAAATATTCAACACTAGTGACTCTATAAAATAATCATATTGACATGTCTTGCTACAGCTTATATTGTACCTAAAGACCTAAAGGTGCACATAAACCCATAACGCACTCGCTTTAATAGTGTTTTTACAGACTGGAGACAATGGAGCCCTGTGTGCGTGTGATGACTGGGATAGCGGTATCGGCACCAGTCGGGCGTGATTGGTGCCAGCTCATTACTGCCAGGCATTAAAGCCGACTTTGGCCCGTGGCGGCACACTATACTGGAGCAGGTACGCCGATAACTCTGAAGACTGGCGCTTACGCTAATGTAGCTTGGCCATTTTTCCAGACAAATTTTGGTGTTGGCTGCCCATCATTGTTCTATCAAAGAGGGCTTTATGCTAGTGAGGAGATGAAGGGGAGCTATTGTGAGAAGCGTGTTTTTGTTCGGGCAGAGCAGGTAATACGTCGTCGTGGCATTCGGTTCAATCCTATAACTCATGTGAATGATGTGTGAACGCGAAATGTTCATTTACAGCATGTTCTCTTTCAAGTACGTCTAAGTTTTCCAAAGCACATGGTGAGGATGGAAGTGTGTTCGGGGTCTCAACCGCTCATTTAACGAGAGAAACCTGATGTTAGAGGTGGATATTTAGAAAAACCAACAGAGTGCAATGCATGGTTTAAATAACCAATTTAGATTACAAACTAGATATTTACAAGTCTGAAGTTGAGTCTGATCATGATGGAGATCTGGTTGGGTGCTTGGGTGGTTTTGGTGAGCTTAGCTGAGATACATATACTTGTCTGACCAAATCGGCAAATGCTGTGGGCCTTAACCTAAAAATGTCCTGGCCCGTGTGAACACAAATGAAACGTTAAAGGGATAGTTCACACAAAAAATGAGATTTTGTTATCATTTAAGACCTGTATGACTAACTTGTTAGTTAAAATATGCGTTCATTGTATGGACTGTGTGAGTTTGTGTTATACAAAAGATTGTAAGTCATACTGGTTTGAAAGTACATACGGGTGAGTAAATGATACTTATTTTCATTTTCAGGTGAACTATCCCTATCTCTTTATCACATTCTGTTTGGGGTGCTTTCAATACCTAAAGAATATATACTACCACTCAAAAGTTTGGCATCATTAAGATTTTTTTAATGATTCTGAAAGAAGTCTCTTATGCTCACCATTTATTTGATTATAAATACAGTAAAATCAGTAATATTGTGAAATGTTATTACAATTTAAAATAAGTGTTTTCTATTTGAATATATGTTAAAATGTAATTTATTCCTGCGATGCAAAACTGAATTTTCAGCATCATTACTCCAGTCTTCAGTGTCACATGATCCTTCAGAAATCATTTTAATATGCTGATTTGCTGCTCAAGAAACATTTCTGACTATTATGAATGTAGAAAACCAATTTAATTTCCAGCGATATCGTCGACTTGATTGCAGAGATACTATTTAAACTGAACTGAGCTGGATGATGACATCAAAGAAAGAAATGAAAGAAAACGGTTTCATATTCATATCTGTTTCATATTTTTGAGGAAACCGTGAAACTGCCAAACTTCAATTTTACTATATTGGATTACTATATTGGAACAAAACAGATTAGTTAAAACAAATAGTTAAAGCAAAATAGTTAAAGTAAATAGTCAATACTCTGCCTACTGGGATTTGATTTGGTCAAATCAGTGATTACTTTTGACGGTCATTATTGATGTTTCTGGGATCCCAAACACAAGAAAAACATTACATTAAAGGGGTCATATGATGCAATTTCAAATTTTCCTTTCTCTTTGGAGTGTTACAAGCTGTTCGTGCATCACATTGCATTACACCAAATACACAACTTAATGTTCTTTTTAGCAACGTCATATGACCCCTTTAAGCTCGTCTCCACTTAAGTACCACAGAGCATCTCAAAAACTAGTTGCATATTTAATTGCGTCCAATCAGAGCTGATAATGGAGCAAAACTGTCTTGCACCAGACAATCACAAGGGCCTCTAAATCAGATTTCTATGGTGTTTGGACTCACTTGTGGCCCAGCTCATGAGCGATGGTGAAGGCCAGGTTGAGTCCGTTGTCCTCCGCCAGCACACACTTCCTCTTGGAGCTACAGGTGCCGCCCAGATAAGCGATTCCTGTGGAGAGAGCAAAGCACAGAGTGAGAAGATAACGGATAGACAGGAAACCACAAAATCTGACACTTTAATGCCTGAAGCTCATTCACACTGACTGGAGATCATTCGTTGCTGCTAATCGCTGTCAGTTTTAGCTTACTTTTGGCCTCCTCATAACTGAGGTTTTTAATTGTGGTTGTATTTTTATGCCAATTTCAGTCACCCACCTGTCCTGAGGAATAACAACAGATTTCTTGCAAGAAATTTTTCAGAGAGGAAAAAGCAGTGCCATAAAGGACACAGATATGCCATTCATTTCATATTTAACATTTGGTTTTGTGTTTTGTGTAAAGTATTGAACATTATTATTGAATTTTGGATTTTGCTGATGTGTTAAAAAAATGTGAATTGTTAAAATTGTGATATATGAATATATATCTATAAATCTCTCTTTCTTTCTATATATACAGGTGCATCTCAATAAATTAGAATGTCGTGGAAAAGTTCATTTATTTCAGTAATTCAACTCAAATTGTGAAACTCGTGTATTAAATAAATTCAATGCACACAGACTGAAGTAGTTTAAGTGTTTGGTTCTTTTAATTGTGATGATTTTGGCTCACATTTAACAAAAACCCACCAATTCACTATCTCAACAAATTAGAATACTTCATAAGACCAATAAAAAAAAACATTTTTAGTGAATTGTTGGCCTTCTGGAAAGTATGTTCATTTACTGTACATGTATTCAATACTTGGTAGGGGCTCCTTTTGCTTTAATTACTGCCTCAATTCGGCGTGGCATGGAGGTGATCAGTTTGTGGCAGCAAACTGACAGCAAACACATGTCCTATGAGTCAGAATCTCTGTCACTGAGTGATGCCACATCAGAAAGTCTACGTCACATCACAGACTATCCCCTTTCTAGTGTTCCTGTGAAAGCCCCTGGTTTGTGTCTGACACTGGACGAAACCCAGACAACCTCACTTAGCCTCTGACCACCGTAAGTGAAATCAATAACCAGAGAATGAAATTCAGCCCAGATGCTTGTGTTAAAAAAGAAAAAACGGCACAAAACTGTGTTTAGGACGACGAGAGCAGTTTGGTCCAGCAGAGGTACTTTTACATGGAATAACAACAGGAAATGAGCATTGATTGTATGAGCATATGGCAGGTCACATTTTTCAGTTTGTGTGATTTTTGCAATATGCATCTCATGCAATTATCGCATTGCATTGTTAAAGAAAACTATATGAATTATATATTAAAATATGCAACATTTAGAAGGCTTCAACTGGTCAAATCTGATCAAAACCCCTGTAACAATTTACATCTGCATCTAAATTTTTATCTGCATTTTGAATTAGTAAATGACAAAAAAAAAAAAAAAAAAAAAAACAATTAATGCAACTTCTGTTTGGGAGCGTAAATACAATGCCTTAAAATGTTGATTCCATGGGCAGCTCACTACCATAGTTTTTGAAACAAGTATATTATTACTTTAACCAACTTGAATAAATAAGCATTAAGCAGCCTATATATAGTAAAAGCTGTTTACTATCAAGACACAATGAAAATACTGAACAACAACAGTGTGACTTAAAAGGCCCGTGAGAAAAAGAAAAACGTGATGATATACAACCACATAACACATCTTATTAAAAAAACTAGGCTAGAAATAATTTCTGGTCTTACATGTTTCACACAGTGGTTCAATAAATATTGTTCTAAAGCAATAAAAACAGAAACCCTGCAATTACAAAATAAAGAGACATTTGGATGTTCCACTGTAGCTCATAAATCAAAGTTTCTGTGTTATTTGCTCACAGTGTTTGATGACTTATGCTGGAAACAATTGCAATGTACTGTAACATGCAGTAAAAACAAATGAACTGTGCTTTATCATTCTTCAATCTACGGTGGTAGAAATACTCTGAAAACAAAACACATCACCATGTATGGAGACTAAGCTGAAATCCCAATTCAGTCGACGTATTATCAGTATTATGATATAACATGATAATATCATATTAGCGATACAGATGACGTGATGATTTGCTTGTGTCAGGATGAATTTTTCATCTTTACACATGGATCTGAGGTCTAAAACACATGTCGGAAAATAATGGGCTGTGCCAGTTTTACACTGTCTGGAATTGTATTATGGAAAAAACAATTCTTTGAATGCCATATAAAAAGAACAGCAGGTTGATTGGAAAACAGATGTTGTCCTAAATTCCTCCACTTCCCCTCTAAACCTCCATTCTTCTTTCTGTTTTTTGTTTTTTTTAAGTGCTGCAATTATATCTGCTACATCTGTCACGAGCTGATTTACAGTTTTTGATTTACTGATTTACAGGTCAGATGAGTTCAAGTTTCTGTAAGCAAGTCTCTGCAATCGTTCTGTGCAGATATTTTTATAGCTTGCTGTGAGTTGATGGAATGTTATCTATAATGTGTAATGACTGTCTGGATGGGTGAACTACACATGACAGACAGGTAGGCTTAATAACACCTTCACTGCAAATGAATGGAAATGAGAGCTCAGCAAAGTATTTAAGCTTTCTTTTGTACTCCATGGAAAAAATGACAGCAAGCGGGTTTGGAATGACATGAGGGAGAGTAAATGATGATCCAAGATTGAAAACTGAACTCAATTGAGGTCGAAATTGAACTGAATTGTAAATTTCATTTAATTAAATGAATTTCATTGCTGAATTTGATGAGGAATTTATGAATTTACGGGGGAAAAATAAATCAAAATTAAACAGAAATTCTGAAATAGAATGGAATTTAACAGAAATTCAAAAGAAATTCAAATTTGCTGTAATTGTTGTCAAGATGATAGATAGATAGATAGATAGATAGATAGATAGATAGATAGATAGATAGATGTACAACAGAC